TCATGAACTTCTACAGTTTGAGGGACACCCAAGAGAATCTAGGCTAGAGAAGCAGACACATAGATGGATTTCATCAGGGCTTTGTCTTCTGTTCACAACTTCTTTGAATGGCTTTAATATCATTCTCCTTTCTCTTTCACTTTGTTCCTTACTTCTGTCACCCGTGGGACAGAGTTGTTGCAAACTCGTGGAAAGCAAGCTGTATTTGGGGAGGACGGAGAGGGTGTGGGGCATTCTTTTCACTGGCATTGGCATAGTCCTGTTTACTGATTGTGCACCATGAGCCAGTTTATAAGGTGCTTTCTTTTTTTTTGGTACCAGGGATCGAACTCAGGACATTGTGCTTGCAAGGCAGGCAGCAGAACAACTGAGCTGAATCCCTGGCCTATAAAGTATACTTTCTTCTGCTCTACCCCCTGCATCTTAAAGGTTCCATCCCCTACCGATATCACCCTACTGAAGACTAAGTTTCTTACGCATGAACCTGTGGGGAACACAAACCATATTCATATAACCATGGTACCGCCTGATTTAAAGATGCAACCCAGACACTTCCTAGTGGATTGCCAGTTTCTAATCATTTGTGCTGCATTCATTGGTGCTTGATTTTCTGTGGCCTATTTATTTATTGGTTAGTTCTCATCTCCCCTCTCTTGAATGTCAGTTTCATGACTGAAAGCTGGAAATCTCCTGTCTTCTTTACCATCTCGTCCCCATCACTTACAATAGCCCTGAGCATGCAGTAGCGACACAATCAGCATTCTTCAGCTGAAGGGCTGCAATTGATAAGTGGCAAGGAGCTATCTTTGCCTGCTTTGTGACTCTGGGCAGATCATTTTTGTAAGACTCAGTTTCTCCACAGGCAAAGTGGGGACCACAATACCTAGAGATAGGAAGAACATGTGCTAAGGCATTTCCCACAAGGCCTCTGGGAAGCCCCTTATGGGGTAAGATTTTGGCAAGTTTACCATGGTATGAATTTCAGCCTTCAAGACAAACTCTTAGGATGAGAATTAGTTGGATTGGGGGATAACTTATAGTTACTAGTCTCCTAGGAGACTGATAGGTAAATCAGACAGGATACTAATTTTTGTTATGAAAAATATAGTTAATAAGGAAAGTCAGTGTTCAAATTGGTTTGATCAGTCTTCTGGAAACAAAATTATATGAGAAAACTGCCAGGGGATTATGGAATGGGAAAAAAGGATGTGAATCAACTGGTATAAATATTAGTTATTTCTGGAGCCTGGGTTGGAGGGTTATGCATTCATTTCCAAAACAAAATGAATCAGATTGGGTGAGCCTGCAGGTCAGAGCTCCCTTGTCCGAACGGGCCCTGTGGGCAATGCCTTTTGATATTTGGAGCTTCTCTTCAGGCTATCACAACTGATCTCTCTCCCTTAGGAAAAACAGCCTGGCCTGGGCCATGCCAGCTTCAGTTCTGTCTTCAGACACACTTCCTGTTCTCTAACGGCTCACTGAGGATTCTGGGTAGTGATGTGAAAGCTACCAATTAGATTACACTGCCCCTTGCCCTCTACCCTGCTCAACACTTCTGGGATGAGCATATGACTAGGCTGGCCAATCAGAGCAACTCATCCTTCTGGGCCACTGTGACACAGGGATACATATGTGACTGGGTAGGACCAATCAGAATCTTCCTAAGGCTGATGTGTGGACACTGGAGGTGATAGATTGTTTGCAGAGCTGGCCACGGTAAGGTCTTTCATTGCACATGCCCCATTGTGATGAGACTTGAGGTGCTTCCCATCAAGAGCTGGAGTCTATTTCCATTGCCTTTGAACTTGGGCTGGCCCATGATGTGATTTGAGAAAGTAAAGAGATGTGTGAGTTTGGAGCCCCAGCCCAGAAAGGACTTGCAGACTTTGTCCTCACTCCCTTTGTACCCTGCTGCCTTGTGAGCAGGCTAGGGCTCCAAGAGGTGAAAACACTTCATGCAGAAAGAGATTGTATTGAGGCACAGACACTCTAGCTGTTCTGGTTGCCCTTTGGAAGCTCCTGACATATAAATGAAACCGATTTGAGACCAATCCTCCCAGGATAATGTCATCTGATCACAAATTTCTGGTTGAATCTAGGAGATACCACAAGGATCCAAGAACTGTCCAGTTGAAGCCTGCCTGAGCCACAAAGTTGTGAGAAGAAGATGGTGATCATCTCTGGGTGTGGTTGCACACAGTAATCCCAGTACTCAGGAGGCTGAGGCAGGAGGATTGCCATGACTTTGAGGCCAACTTGGGCTACATAGTGAGTCCAAGGCCAGCCTGAGCTACATAGTAAGACAAACAACAAAATAATGGTGGTTGTTTCAAGCCACTAAGTTTTATGATGTTTTGTTTCACAGCAATGGATAACTGGTACATTGGGAAAGAGAACTGTTTTTTCCCACTGAGTACCATTTTGAGAAGATGGGGCTACCAGAGCCTGCCATATTAAGAAGCTGCCTGAAGAATAAAACCAAGCAGAGACAAGCAGGACCACAAGATAAGAGAGACAGAATTAGAACCAGGAAGAATATTATTTGAGGTTCTGTATCTAGCCAAGACATAGCTATTAGAATAAGCTTCACAAGACTTCCTAGTTAAGCAAATGAATAACTTCCTTCTTTTATTTTTAAGCTGTTATGAGTCAGGATTCTGCCATCTGCAACAGAAAGAGTCCTAACTGAGACACATGTATTTTCTGGGTATGCTATTATATGCAATTATATTTTGGCCAAATTTTACTAGTCTGGTGACTTCCAATATCTTTACATTTAGTTCATATCTCTCCCAATAGTTAAAAAAATTCTTATTGACAAATTAGTTTATTCATTCAGAAGCCTTTATTTAGGACTTGCTATGTGCATGGAACTGTAGTAATTGGTGGAGATTTAGCAAATAATATGACAAGTCCAGTGTCCCTCTTCTTTACTTCAATATTGAGGTCCTGGCCAAGAGTTCCAATCTCCTGCAAGGCAATATGACACAAGGGGAGAGAAAGAAAGACACAGAAACAGGACTTAAACAAAGCAGGGATCTGGGGCGAAATGAGATGAGTTGGGCAGCAAAGACAAAAGGCACCCGAGACCTCCAGTGTTTATTGGTTACAGGCATGGGAAGAAATAGGGCAGGGTGTATGTGAAATATCTGGTGATAGCGGTTCTCACAGGCAAGGCTGTAAAAGGGAGGCAATGCATGCTTGTAGAAGAAACAAAAGAAGACCAGGGGTGGGCCATAATTAACCAGGAACCCATCAGGTCAGTGAGAGAGGCCATAATTCAGGGAAAGGAATAGTTGGAGTCACACTGACCTCAGCTGGATGTTATCTCATTCAGGGTTCTGCAGCTTCACAGACCAGTACTTAGATTTCTGCTACAGCCATTGGGGGAGGGGCTATGCTTGCCCAATCTGCCATCTGACATGGCCATTAGAGTGACATAGGCTTTGATCAGACTCTTAATATAATATGGCCAAATCATAGGGAAGCAAGAAGCCTGTGCCACTTATAGCCTGCTAGTAAACTGGGCAGGGGCCTCAACTACACTCCAAGTTATCTAATTAGAGTTATGCTAAATTCCAAGGAGATAAAGAAATGGGAATTATCAAAGACTGCATAGTCTACTCCACTATCTTGTTAAAGGAATAATGTATGTAAAAGCATATAGCAGAGCTCTAGCACAAACACTGATTTTTCTTTCCACACATGAGATAAAACCATAAGCCCTTTCTGAGGTACCTACCTGCTCCCATCTCCCAAAATATCCTCCTTAAATATCCTTTTCTGCATCCAGATCTCAAATGCATGCAACATTCTCAGTTTGCGAAATGTGGAGTAGGCAAGAAGTGCCTCATTTTTAGGATGCTCTAAATTCAAGAGGCCTATAGTCATGGAACCACAGGAGATTTGGACTTTTAACACACTTCTGAAATACTGCCTCTGTCGTCACCACCCACACTTCCTGTGGAGAACCTAAGATCTTTTATTTTTTCTTTTGCCTTTATTACTTTCAAGCCCCAGTTCTTGGCTGAGATAAAGTACAGTCCCCAAATGGTGTGATTTAATGGGAGGAAATTTACTTGACTTAATGTACAAATTTACCAAGGGAAGTGAATTTGATAAGGATAATTACATCCACATCTAAGTGTAAATTACAGCAGGTGTCTAAAACGGTGAGCAGCTGCTGTGTCCTTGTCACTCAAGGCTACCTCTGCTCTCTGGGGTTCACAGCCAGCTAATAAATGTTCAGTGGAAGCGGAATGAGCAGGCTGATGATGACCTGACCTCCTGGAGCCTCATCATTTATCCAATTAAGAGACAATATTGGAACCAAGTGTTTCTGCATAGACCTATGTTCAGCCAGACAGAAGATGTTGGGCAAGTTTGTTTCTGGAAGATTTCATATTTTTCAGCATAGACTGAAACCATTGACCAGTGCCATCTCCCAAATTTATCCTCACAGCCACTAAGCTTGGTCTTATTAATAGTTAGCTGTGCCCTGAACATGCCATCTGCTTGTTCACTTCTATGTCTTTGACCTTTTGTCTCAAACTTCTCCTCTTTCTCTTCTCAGTCTGGCGAAATTCTAATCCGCATATGAGATGCAGCTCATATGCTGCTACCACTCAGAAGCACCTGTATTCATCAGCCCAGCCATGTTCATTCCCTCATTCATATCACAAACTCCTCATGTCTTTATCATGACACTCATTTGCTTAGTACATATGTGATGAGCACTCACCAGGCCCCAGCAGTATGGACTCCTGAAATAAATCTGATGTTGTTAAGGATCCCAGAGTCTAGCAGAGGAGATATACAGCAAAAAAGTCACAAAAATCCTGAAGCCGTGAGAGATCTGTCAATAAAGGAGAAAATAGGCTTCCGTGGAAGCAAAAGGGAAAAGCCCACCTCAGACTCCAAGAAAGAGCTGCAGAGACAAAGATGCTTTGGTGTGGACATTGTTCTGGAATCACAGAAAGAAATGCACAGAGACACAGAAGTTGGGTAAAAAAACAAATTTACTTGCAAGCAGGCAGGACTGCCAGAAACTGGTCTGGTCAGAGTCTGTACCCTGTGTTCTTTGTCCATCACTTTTTATACTTTTGTCAGTCATTATCTCACCCCTAGTGGTCTTTGTTATGTAAATAAAGTTCCAATTCCTGTTTAATGGTTAGACACAGGTGGTTTCTGTCACTGATTACAGTCCTGAACACTTGACATTTAAAGCACATACATCACAAGTTTGTTCAAGGATTCCCACTTTGTTCTTCAGAGCTAGGATGTTATCTATAGTGGAGCTACAGATCAAAGGAGCTATATAACCTTCACTTTAAACAACAAAAACAATGGGCTAAGGGAAGCTTTTAAAAGGGTACACTACCTATTTTGCTTCCACAACTACTTCAATAGCAAATCTGCTAACCTTACTTTAAAATTTTTCCCTATCAACATGAAGAGTTCATAGGAGTTTTCCAAGAGGAAAGGAGTAGAAAGACATCTCTGCAGAGACAACACTAGGCATATGCTGGCTATCAGTGGTTTGTCATCCCTACCATTTTTTTCTACTTGAAAGCAGAGATTTGTCCCTACATTTGCATCTCCATTACCTAGCAAAGACATATAGTACATGCTCAGCTAGTGTTTGGGAGGTGAGTGAATGAGCCATGAATTCAGAGAATGTTAATTTGACTGTTGTTTGGGGTTCTGGGTTCTAAGCAGTGCTAAAGAACTCACATGAGAAAAATGTAATCAGAAATAATGGGTCTCTCTTAGCCACTATTGCTATTTAACAAACTATACCATGAGCTAGAAGCTTAAAGCGACAGTGATTTACTATTTTGTGGCATCCTGCGAATCAGTTGGGTAGTTCTTCTGTTATTTGCCCCTGGAATCACTTGTGCACCTGCCTTCAGCTGGGAAGGTGACTTGGACCCGTGTTCCCTTGGGACAGTGGGGACAGCTGAGCCCTGTTTTATGTGGTCTTCCATCCCCAATGAGGATAGAGTGAGCATACACACATTGTGGTACTCATACCCTAAGAGACAAAGCTCTAGAGTGTACTAATTATGCTCTTCTGTTTGTATCTCCTTTTCTGATGTCTCAGTGGGCAAAGATATTTGCACAGCGAAGTCTAGAAGCAACACTGAAGCGCATAATATGTGGGCAGGTGTATCTGAAGGTCTGATTCACCAAGGCCATTAATGTCACTGTCCATCACAGGGAAACTCATAATCAGGTTGCCATCAAATGCATACATGTGGCACGGCCAGGTAGCAAAACAGAGCAGAGCCATCCTTCAAGGACAGGGAGGTCCTGTAGTGTAGTAACAGGAGGAGCATTAAACATGGCTGTCCTTGGAACTTGAAGAACAGGGTTTGATCATGTAAGATGAACCCAAAATAATCACTTCACATGCTATCTTCAGCATCAGAGGCAATAATACAAAGTATTTTTATAGACTTGAAGAGAAATCAGCACTGTTAAGTCGAAAGCCGAGGTCAGTACCACGGACAGATCCAACAACTAGTGAGAATCCAGGCATTTTCATCCTTATCTTCTGGAGGCAGCTGGGCATGGAGAATTAACTTGCTGAGTGTCTAGAGAATTGGATTTGCTTCATGTATTCTCATTTGCCTTGGGCTGTTTCCTGTCACGACCTGTATCAATTGTGTTTAGGTTTAGTCATGAGCAAGAAAGTCTACAGGTAAAGCAGCTTAAACAAAAGAGAAGTATTGGCAGTCAGAGGCAGAGGTCAGATGTGAGAAGCTCCAGGCTGTGACAGCAGCTCTGGTCCATGAAGCCCAGATCCCAGGTGCTTACAGCTCACTGACCTGCACCTACAACTTTGCATCCAAGGTGGGGGGATGATGCACTTGTTGCTACATCAACATTCTTCTGTTTGTTTCTCTAATAAGATGAATTTTTGTGGAGCCTACTACATGCTAGAAAGAGACTACAGGTGTAGGGTTTAATGATGTTAAATGGGGATTCTGGGAGAAGAGGTAGAGAAGAGCTCTTCAAGCTGTCTGTGAAGAGAGGCAGCCAAGATGTGGAAATTAATTAATGGCTAATTTGGGTTGGGGCAGTGTTTGAGTCATGTAAAATGAGTCAAATAATATGTATGCCCAAAGGAAAGGTAAAAATAAGAAGACTTTTTAAGATCTCTTGGTCACAATGAAGCCTCTTGTGCCCTGCTTACTCATTACCCACTGTGGAGAAAAGCTCTAAGCATACGCATCTTAGTTTCTCTAAGAAATTGCCCACAAACTCAGCAGCTCAGTAGAGAGGAGGATGGTGGTCACCAGAGGCTGAGGGTAGGGAGGGGAAAAGGAGATGATGTTGGCCAACCAACATTTCAGTTATCCAAGATGAATAAGTTCTGGAGCTCTACTGTAAGGGATGGGGTCTTCAATTAACAATGTTGTGTTGTATGCCTGACATTTTCAAAAAGGGAAGATCCTAAGTGTTCTCACACAAAAAAAGAAAAGGAAGTGGTCATGGGTATGCTAATTTGCTTGATTGTGGTGACCAACATGGTCACGTTCCCGAGATGCATGCAATTTTTGTCAATTATTCTTCAATAAGAATTGGAAAAATAAATTTTAAAAATTGGGAAATTTGGATGATTTGTGTCTTATGTCTTTCTGTAAGTGCAATTATATTTCAAAATTTAAAAAAGTAATACACATAATGATTGATTGCAATACTTGGCATTGAACCCTAAATTGCACTAAATTGCATTCCCAGCCCATTTTTATTTTTTTAATTTTGAGAAAAGTCTTTCTAAGTCACTAATTTGCCCAGATTGGGCTCAAATTTGAGATTCTCCAGTCTCAGTCTCCCAGAGTGCTGGGATTATGAGTGTACACCACCACACCTGGCAGAATACATTTTTAAATGGTCCAAAATCATACTGCAAAAGAACACCCAGTTTTACAGGTGTGTCATTCAGGAGCCTCAATGTGTTCTACAGGCTCCAAGGGTGGTGGCCTCACCGAGATGTTGATAAAAGTGCAGGGCCCAGGCCACTGCAGACCCCTGGAAGACCACTGCATCTGAACTTCCAGCCAGGACGGTGGGGATCATTGCCACCTCCTAGGTGATTCTCATGCACAGTAAAAGGTGACAGACAATGCCATGGGACCTAGGAAATAGTAAGAAACATACTGGGGTGTTAAAAGTTGCAAGTTCCATACAAATCCATGCATGAAATGTGATAAAAATATGGTCAATTTTTAAATACAAATTTTTATTACAGTAAAAGATATATTGGCATTAATCCCCCTCAAAATACTTTCCTTCACTTTTGAGCACATTTGTCCCATTGTTCTCACCACTTTCTGCAGCAGTTCTGGAAGTCCTCTTTCCTGAGTGTCTACCGTTGCACTGCCATGGCTGTCTCAGGGTCTTGAATTGATTCAAATTGTTTCCCTTTCATGGTCATTTTGACTTTGGGAAAGAGCCAGAAGTCACATGGTGCCAGGTCCAGTGAATAAGGAAGATGAGGACACAGGGTCATGTGTTTATTTGACAGAGATTGCCATAAATATTTGGAATCAATTCAAGACCCCAAGGCAGCCATGAAAAGACATGCAGGAAAGAGAACTCTGGAACAGTTTCAGAAAGTGGCAAGAATAATGGGATAAGTGTGTTGGAAGTGAGGGGAGGATTTTGAGAGGGATTAATGACTGTAATACATTTTCAAAAAATTTAAATGTCACCATATTTTACATCACACCCTATGTGTGAATCTTGGGGGTAGTCTTGGGATTGCATACATAGATTTAGGGTCACTCTTTCTTCAGCTCTCTCCTGCTGTGATTTCCTTTACATTCTCCACAGCCCATTTTTCTGGTCCCTGACTCCTCCTTTTTCTCTTTGCTTCCTGGCTGCCATGGGCTGAGCAGCTATTCTCTGCTGGGCCCTTTCTCCATGCTTTTTCTGACTTGGAGCCAGTTGACTTTGAACTGGAACCTCTGAACTGGAAACTGTGAGCCAAATAAACCCCTCCTCCTTTAAACTGTATTGGGTATTTTGCCCCAGCCATGGGACAGTGACTAAGACAGAGGCCTGTTGATTTGACTAGAGGTTGCTTTAGGGTCCATGCATGGACACAGGATGCTGCGAATGGTTAGAACCTTTCAGCATAAGCCCAGGGCCTGTGTAGCAAAGTTCAAGGAGATGTCTGTCTCTCTAATTTGATGCTTCTCATGGCCTCTCAGGGTCTGGAAAACTGCTTTATATATGAAGAATCTCCTGCAATGGATACCAGAGTATGGAAAAGGTTTTAGAATGGAGATGATATATTTGATTTAATATCGGGAAAAAGAAGATAAGAGAAAGATGATTGTAATTGTGTTTTATGTATTCTGTGATTGCAAGTGGGTAAACAACAGCAAGAAGTGTTCAGAGTTGTAGAAAAAAGATAGTGTTAGGGAAAATGAAGCCTATGAGATGTGGGTGTTTTATTGTTTCATTTTTCAACAAATTTCCTTAATGTGGCTCTACTATCTTTTCAAATGTAATAATGTGTAAGAATAATTCCTGGCCTATTGCCTGATAGTCACATTGTTCCCCGTTCTACTTCTGTTGCTTATTTGGGAAGGCTTTCCTGTTTATCCCCTGTCATCTCAACTGGTCCTGTCACATGTTCCTACCAACAGTACTTTGAATCTCCATCTTCTGTTGTAGACACCGGCTTGAGCAGGTGAAAGCAGATTTCTTTGCTTACTGACATCTTCAGTGCCTAGCTAGTGTCTTAGTATGTATTCACAAAATGCTCAAGTCTCCAAGTGAATGAAAACACCTTAAAGTTAAGATTTCTATTTTGTACTTCATTTGGCTTTTCTTTTGGTCTCAGACATGTTTGGGGCTCATATATCACTTTCTCTTCATATTGACAAACACTGTTCAAATTATCCAGCCAAACCACAGCTGGATGGCATATTGCGTTCAGTTGACAATTAGTGAAAGGAGAGTTCCAGGTGAAAGCATTCAGTGGGGAAGGAAAATCAGAGCTCATGTTTGGCCAAGGCTAGCTTGGCCAAGAATGATCAGTGGACACAGAAGGGTCCCAAGGTGTTGCTAGGAATAGAGGCTCTCCTCTCTGGCTCCACCTCTTTTGTGCTATATACTAAATCCAAACACGATGGTGCTGATCCAAGTGTGCTATCATTCACGGGGGAAAGTTGTCAATTGCAGTAGCGTAGATGTGGAGGCAGTGGAGGGGATCTACCAAACCACAAGCTGTGTGTGACTATGGTAACCTCCAATGTAACAACCCTGGCACATAAGGGTTGGAAGAGCCCTTGGACAGATGCACTCCAAACATCTTCCTCTACAACTGGCACTTAGATGAGTCACCACTCGGCCTGGCTTGAGAACTCTGAGTGATGGTGAGCTCACCACCTTCTAAGGCTGCTTATTACATCTTCAGATAAACCTCTGCTCGACGTGGCAAACATGAGTGCCTGAGTGGACACCCTCACCACCTTCGCCAGAGGCAGACATCACCAATCGATCACAGAGCTCCTTCCCATCAAGCCTAGGCTTATTCTCAACACTGTGTTTCAGTTGTATGGAGTTTAACTTGTAATGTCTACCCAAGCTACTAGCAAGTTCTTTCTTATAGCTGCTTTGCTAGATCTCATACTCATTGATCTTCTTTATGTCCTCTGTAACAATCCGAGGCAAAGACAACCTCAGACCTGGCAGCTCTGATCCCTTTGGATACAGCCTGGGAAAGCAGAACCAGCAAGATGGTGGTGGGGAATGGCTCTCTTAAGCCCAGGATCCACAAGGCAGAGCCAAAGATTGGCAAAGACATTTATTAGGAGGTGCAGAGTCTCTTCCCACTGAATTCTGACAGCCTACATCTAGGACCAAAGCCTAGGGTCACCGACACTCCAGGATCCAGTTAGAGACTAAGGCTACTGGCAGAAAACCTGGGACTGGAACCTGAGCCCATGATTTCCAGTCTATTGAGCCCTCTGTCAGACCACAATGTGTGCTTTGAGAAGGATTCCAATAGTAGTCATTCGATTACATTCTGAAACTGTGGGTTGTCACATAGAAGGCAGGCCATCGATTTCTACAGAAGAATATTGGGTCACTGAGACATAAGGTGATTCTTTCCAGCTTCCCAAAGAGTGCAGGGGGCAGGAATGACATCTGGTTGTGAAGTTAGGTGAGCACCAGCTCATTATGAAACTTAACAGTGCAAGATTTGCTCGGCTTGAGTTAGTTTATGCCTTCTGAGCATGGGGAAGTCTTTGGATCTCTGAAATGGTGCAACCGTCATTTTAGACAACCCTGTTTTTGATATAGCTGTCCAATGTGGAGGAGGAATCTGGTTCCGGCTTTCCGTTCACTGTCTCATCGGTGGTGGCTGAGTCAGCCTTCTTCTCTGGGGGGTATACTTTGTTCCTCTTGGCAAACGCCTGGCTGATTTCTGCGTGGGTTCTGTTTTTGGTCTCAGGCAGGACAAAATAGAGGTAGACAGCACCTGCGATACATACTGCGGCAAAGACGAGGAAACAGTAGGTGTCCAGACTTTTCTGCAGAAACGCAAAGACAGAGAAATCAATCAGTAAGCTAATTGGCCATGAAGCCATTTCTGAGCAGGTATTTTGTACAGCTCCCCATTCATATATCAGCATTCCCGAATGAAGCATCTCATGTGTGGCTGGCTGTACAGGGCAAATGGAGCTCTCATGAAGCATTCTCAAGTGCTAGAAATAAATCACCTTCCAACCCTGCAAAAGATGAGGCGTACCAGTCTCTACTGTGGCTTTGCAAATGAGGCATTTAAAAGTTAATCACCATCAGAACAGAATGTCATACTTGCTGAATATTATCAAGTTTATATTTACCATGAACCCCATTCTGTCTGCGCTTTCACTGTACACCAGTCACATATGACACCAAAATGGAAGAGAAAGATCCTGTTTAGAAGAAAAATCATTTTCTTGATGGACCATCATTTAGGCCAAAAGAACATTGTTCCCCCCCCATATGCAAAAAGATCGAACTCACTAATTGATATTCTGAGCAGGACCCCGCGTCCTGGGAGAGGGTGGGCGAGAGCTTGAGCTTGTCAGCGCACCGTGTCCCCCTTGCCTTGCCTGGCGCCTGGCCTGTAGAGGCGCCCAGGAAACATTTAAGGAATAGCACACTTTCTGGTCCGGCTGTGACTCTTTCATACAACAAATAGCTATTTATTTAGACGTAAGGCGACGGCGTCTTTGAATCACCCTCCACAAGCAGCAGTATTGGGGTTTTAGTGCATTCCATTTAATTCTTTGATTTCCGAGCATTTATGTTTGGAACATGATGTCGTGTGCAGGAGTTGATCTCTGGATTGCACCCCAGGTTCACCAGACGAAGTGTCAGAGTCTCTGTCCTCTGTTTCCAGAACTGTACATAGAGGCTTGGTGTAAGGGTAGATGAGATGGTCCTTTAAGCTCTGCACACAGTCAAGTGCCGCTTTCCTCCAAGGGTATGCACTTTCTTCGCACAATGTGAAGGTGTAGGAAGAACTGGGCTCTGCAGTCAGCTGAGTGGGATTCAAACCCTGGCTCTATCACTCACACGTTGTGCAATACTGAATGAAGGTTCACCATGGAAAACTGAATCCCAGTCCACTGGGCATTGGTTCCCTTGTGTGTGACATGGTGACAGACACCCACCTGCTGTGTTGAAGGTGAGATCAGGCGTCTCCAGTTCCACACTGGCCATCCTCACTTGCCTGCTGCATGGGCATTGGACTTGTCAAGTCCAAATCAGAGCTTCTCGACCTGCCCCTGCTCTGTTCTCCTCATCCCTGGTGGCTTCAGCCAGCCCAAAATACTAAGAGCCAGGTGGCTCCTCCTTCTCTCAGCCATGCATGTCTGACTCATCAGGAAGTCTTATTGGCTGTACCTTGAAATAATTCCTCTGAGCACGTGTCACCACTGCTACAGCTGCTACTTTGGTGCAGGCCATGGTCATGTCCCGATTGGCTCATTGCAATTGTTTCTCAACTGATTTCCTTGCTTCGCTACGTGACCCCTAAGGCTGGTCCCAAGAGAGAATGATCTGAACGTGTTATCCTACTCAAAACCTATGGTGATGTCCTAAGTCACTTTGAGCAGAGCTGAAGCCACATGCTATGTGTCTCCTTTTCTTCTCTGACCTCAGTCTCCTCACCTCCTCTGTTCCAGCTTCATGGCCCTCAGGCTTCTCCTTTAACATCTTTGCACATGTCTTCCCTTTTTCCTGGAGCCATCCTTCGACATCTGCGTATTTTGCTTCCTCACTTTCCTTCATCTAGATTTAAAGGTCAATTGGCCACTCCACGTCACTCCTAGAGCTGCCTGGGGTGTCTCTGCCACCTCTAGAGCTGCCACCTGCCTGACTTCCATTCCCAAGTCCTGGCTCTTGTGCTGCATTGGGAAAACTGACTTACTTATCTCTCTTGCAGGACTCTCGGGGTGAAGATGTGGGGAGCCAGGGAGAGAGGCTGCACTTCCCGGCTGCGGCTCTGCCCACTGAGCCTCAGATGAAAGGTCCTATTGGTCCCCACTGTGGTCTGCTGTGTCCCCAAAATGCATGTGTTGGAGCTCAACCCCAGGGTGATCGAGTCATGAGGGTGGAGCCCTTGTGCATGGGATTCGGGAGTTTATCAAAGGCTGAAGGGAGCTAGTTGGCCCTTCTGCCTTTCCACCTTCCTCTGTGAGTGGAAGCAGAGAAGAGCCCCTGACAGACACTGGACCCACCAGCACCTTGACCTCGGGCTTTCCAGCCTTCAGGCCTGTATGGAATTTATTGCTGTACTTCATCAATCACCCAGTCTGTGGCATTTTGTCAGCCAGCCCACACCCTGCCCCACTGACATCTCTGCCCTTATGGGGGCAAAGAGCCTTTGGCAGACATGTGCTCACCCGCCCGCCTACCTTCCACACATTCAGAGCCACATCCTAATTCCTAGCTCTGCCCTCTGACCTCCTGAATGAAGGGCACTGGCTGGAGGGTGCTGCATGACTGACCTGAGGAGGGAGAGGAGGAGGGGACTCAGTTATGGAACCAGATCTTCCTCACACATGTTCAGGCCATTCAGTCCCTTTGCAAAGGAGGAAATCGAGGTGGGGGGGGTCATGCCGCTAAGGAGGTGGCAGGGCTGGAGTAACTCAGCCTCCTGCTCTTTTCCTGAGCTACTGTCCCTTGTTGGACCCTGGCTTGGGCTGAGGAGAAAAGGGAATGAGGGTAATGATAACAATAGTGTATTAGGCAGCTTTCCTATTGCTGGGACACAATACCCAACACCCTGGGTTTAAGGAGAGGTTTAATTCAGTTCATGGTTTTAGGGGATTCAGTCCATGGTTCTCTGGCTCCAAGGCAGGAACGTCATGGTAAAAGGGCATAGCAGAGTAAAGGTTCTTAGTTCATGGTGGCCAGGAAGCAGAGCAGGGAACAGCGCCAGAGAGGAAGTGGCCAAGGACCTGATATAATCCTCAAGGTCACTCTGACAAATCTGGAAGTGTGCTCCACCAATTCTCTGGGCAGTTCCCAAGCTAATCCAGTTGACACAATGAAGCTTATCATAAGTAGCAACCATTTGCTGATCGTCTTCTATGCTGGGCACTGCTGACTGACAATGTTCACAACAACCCTGGGCACAGGCATATTTTCCAGATGAGGTAACCAAGAGTGGAGAAGGTGTTGGTGCAGTTTCTTGGGGCTGTGCAATGAAGTTAAGAACTGAGCAGAAGGAAACTGATGGATGCAGGAAGACCTCATCGGTGCAGATGTCTGGGCCTCCTGTCCAGGTAAGTGCAGTCGCCTCCTCCTTCCCAGCTGACACAAAACCTCTTAGCTATAATTATATCATTTCTGTAAATCTATCTTTTATATTATTAGAAAAGGTCATGAAAATGTCCCACCTTCTCTGATTCAGAAAGAAAATTTCCTTTCAGAATACAGTATAATGTCAAATTATATTAAAAATATGAGGCAGTTTTGGCAAAGTGCTACTTTTAGGAAAACGTCCTGGGGACTAAAGAAAACCCTGAGCTTTTTTTCTACTCCTCTTTATCAGAATCCTGTGAAGATGTAGCAGCTTCCTTGAACAAGGCAAATAGGTGAGAAATATGTTGCTGGAAGGTAGCCGGAAGTCTCGCCAACCAGATCCCAGGGCTCCTTTACAGATCGTGTGTCTTCCCGGAGCATAAGTGGGCCATGGGGCACCATGGCCCTGAGACACCCTTTTGGCTTCCCAGGTGCTTGCTGTATCAGGCGGCCATGGTGAGCGCAGCCAGGCTGGACAGTCTGGGTAAGGATCACCCAAGGGATGCTGGGAACCTGCAACTGGGCTGCCTGTGGGAGCTGCCCTCCTGCCCGAGTGCTGAGTTGGCCGCTCCTTGGCGTTCTGGTCGCACAAAGGAACCGAGATCTGGCGATGTCGCTGCTGTGCTGGGTCCTCTACGGACCCTCCCTGCGGTGACCAGGTGAGGAACAGGACACTGTTGTCAGGGTAAGTGTTGTAGTCCAGCCGGTGCTACTGGGCTTCTGAGTAATTTCTGGTGAGTTCTTGTCCAGGCCATCACTGTTGAGCTCCTGAGCGGTGCTGTTGTTAAGTATGTGCCCCGTGTGGACCTTCTGAGTCACTCTTCGGGACCCCGTTAGTGAGTCTCGGTTTACCCTCTCCTCCCCGGTACACCTGTCAGTAAGTCTTCATAAGCCCTGTGACTCACAAGCCAATGCCTTGGGAATTTCTCCACTCTCTCGACAAGCTGACTCACAGCTGAGGCACAGCTGGACTGTAGACAGGACAAGTGGTGTTGCCAGGTGGGTCTGGGCACTGCCTGGACATCTAACCCCCCAAACCAATGTGCTCTGGAAATAACAACATTATAAATGACTGTGAATCTGGGCTAAAGTTAGAAGTAGGCATTCAACTGATTTATCAAAAGCAGAAAGGTGAGCTAGGTGTCGGTGGTGCATGCCTGTGATGTCGGCCCTTTGGGGATTGAAGCAGGAGGATTGCAAGTTTGAGCCCAGCCTAGACAACGTAGCAAGGCCATGTCTCAAAATAAAAAAGGCAACAACCAGGTAGGGATGCAGCTTCACGTGGAGTCCCTGGGTTCAGTCCCCAGTATTGGCAGGGGGAGCAAAAGAGTGTCTGAGCAGAAATAGCCTTCCCCACGTAGGAGACTCCTCCTCATCCTCACACAAGGCTCGAGCGTGCCCTCTGATGCGAGATGTCTCTGGCCCACACCCTGCTATCCAAGCCTGTCCTGCCGCACACACGTCAGCCTGCTGGGGCCTCCGAGCACATGGTCCTCCAGTGTGGTCTGCCTTCTCTCAGCCTTCCTGGCAGCCAGGTCAGAGCAGCACTTGGCACCCTGGGCTCTATGAGTGGCCCTGTTCCCCTCTCTGCGACTCTGCGCCCGCAGACAGGGTGATGGGATGGACACTGGCAGCTGGACACTCCAGAGCCATCCTCGGCAGCCTGGGGGACCCTGTTATGCCTTCAGGAAGAGCTGCTGGTCTAGGCGCTCGCTCGCTGGTGTCTCCCAGC